AGCTGATTTGCTGAACATCCATTTTAAAGATGAATAAAACCATTCTCAAAGAATAAATAACCACTAGTCTTTAAAACAAGCCAATTACTCCCCTAGTTTTTCTTTGCCTTTAAATAGGACACATTGACATCTAGAATCTAGAAGCATTTAAATGGTTAATGTTTCTTTGATATCCCTTAGTTTCCAAATGATTGCTACTGCTCATTTATTTATTTCGTGAAAATTTTAGAGTATTTTTCTTGTTTTCTTATTCTGGGTATTCCATTTTTCCTCTTGCCGATGAGGTAAACCTTTCTTTTAGCAGCTGTAGGTGTGTAACAAGTCACCCAGCTAGTTTTTTTCTCTGGACAAAACTAACTTTTTATTTTCCAAAGTAATTTTTAAAAGTTCATCTTCACTGAGCTGACACACATGCTGACACTCAGTTTTTCTGTTTTAGACTCATTTTGAAAATGGAAACTAGATAGTGCCTTACAGTTTTAATTCACCTATAAGCACAGCAATAAAGAAAGCCATTTTGGCTAAAATCAAGAGGTGGAAATTTGATGTTCTGAAAAATGCTTGTGTCTTTAAATGAGAATATGAAATGTAATTTTGTGAAGATGGTTACAGATGACCAAAACATAACCATAACCTCCATTTTTTCCTCCACTTACATAACAAATCAAGAGGCTTCAGGTGTTTTCCTACCTAGGTGTAGATAAAATAAGAGATTGTGCTGATGGTGATGGTGAAGATGTATTAAAATGATGCCCTCCTTGGAGACAAATTCACAGGAGGTTCTGTTACTCAGTCCTCACCCTTCTTCTGCATGAAGTGCAACAGTACAGGATGATGGGGCTCCCACAGCAGCAGATCCGAGGTCTGAAGCCCTTGCCCTAATACTGATCTGTTGCTAGAGTAGATTTTTGATCATGCAATAGGTAAAAATCTCAAAACATAGTAGCTACTCATGTGTAGAGCTGTCCTGACCAGATAATAAGAGCGACTCTTCTGGGGACTTGACTGTTTAGATTATAATGCATTGCAGGCTCTCAGAACAAGCGCACATCAGTGGTAAAGGCAGTTTAAACCTTTGGGGACAACCCTATGTTTAGATTACATTAATTCATAAATATTATACTAAATACCACTTAAATTGGACTTAAATGACTTCAAAGATAATGCATTATAATATGGCTATCCAGAGAGCACTAGTCTTTATATATCTCAGTAACTCAGTCTTTGCTGCCTCCTATCTTGCTAGACAGGACCAAAGTTATGAATGGATTTCTGGCTTAGTCGTGTGTGTGATGCAGTGATGTGTGTGTGTATATGTGTACACTCGCATGTGATGTGCATGTGTACACAAGCATGGGTATGCATGTGTATTTATATGCCTTCAGTCACCATCTCTGTTCCCTATGAAACAAAAAGAATATTAGAGAAGTAAAAGAAAAATGAGAAGTGGGTGACCTGTTCGCTTTTTCAGGGAAGAAAAATTCTACAAAACAGGGTGAAATTGGCCCTCAGCTCATTTCTGCTGCTATCCCGGGAATTGGCCTCTTTCTTGTTTGATCAATACTACGATGTCTTTCTCTTTGGAGCCTGTAAAAACAATCTTTCCAAAAGTGCTTCGAATTGGGGAGAAGAGAAGCTTCCAGTTAGCGAGAGTTTGCATTACAGTGAGCTTTCTTCTGTGCATATTGTTTCTTTGAATTTTGATTTGGCCCTTTTTCTTTCTTTCTCTCTCCGCCTACCACACAGATCCCCTTCTCACCAATTGCTTGCTGGTCTCTAGGGGGCAAATTTACCTTTACAGTAATTATTCCACTCCACAGCTGCTATTTGCTGCTTCCCAATCCAACAGCCTTTTCTGGATATAGGGGTTAGGATGATCCACAACACCCACTCACTCCCTCCTCCATGGACTCCCAATTTGACTGGAGTAATTGCCTTTTAAGGTGCACTCTACGCATGACAGGCATTCTATTAACCCTTGGAGCTCCTCCCTTTTTTAGTTACCTGAAACGGCAGGTGGCCAAGAAAAGGATACCCACCTGAAACCTCACGCATATCATTTCGTTTTTACTGATTTTAAAGAACCAATATTGTACAAATGCCATCCACAATGGGGGTGTCAGTGTCTTGTTAGGTATCTCAGTTATATCCCATCATAGTTTATTAGAAGTTAAACACTCAGGAAAGGGGAACAAGAACCACAAATATGCCCTGGATCAAGGCTTAACAAAGGCATGGCTCCATCCTTAGCCTCACGCTGTCAGTTTAGAGATTGGGAAGATGTAGAAGCCAAAAGCAGCTTTCATCCTTCAAGCCTCATCATGCTTTTTCACTTAAGAGTAATTAATCACCAATGGCAGGCAAGTAATTTTTTTTAAGGTGGCCAGAGGCTTATTTTTTATCAGGATTAGCTAATAAATCAGACTGCATCATTGAAGCAGGAGTTCAAACTCCACTAGGGCTGAATAAAGCAGCCCTCAGAGATGCTTGGATTCACGCTGCTCTCCAGGAGCTTCTCAGGACTGCCAGGGACATGGTGGCCCAACCCTGACTGTAAAAATAAGAAGGACAGAGAAGCAGGACCTTTCATAAGGAAAAGTATATGCCAAAATTATGGAAGACAAGGGACAACAATGGGACACTCAATGTGTCAGAGCCACCAGTCCTGCCTGTCACATTCTGAGCCAGTTTATAAGAAGAATATTTGGAAAATAAAGTTTTGCCTGTCTTAGGAATCTTGTATAAACATGTACATTATATACATATACATGGTGTGTGTGTCTGTGCTAAACCTTATGTAGCTTCCTTATGCAAATGATAAATATTCTTTACTATAGTATAAGAGAGTTCAAATTACACTAGATACAAAGTAGTGGCTGCAGCAAGAGACTGCTGAGGAGACAACATGGAATAATGTTAAAGTTTATCTGCACTGGAAATAGAGGAGCAGTAAAGTGCTCTAATTCACAGCCCATAGAACACCCAGCTCCTCATAACTGTCTTTTGCCTCTAGTGGGTTCTGATTTTTTTAAACTTTGAAATATTAAATTACTACAAGAACTGATTGTGAAGACGGACAGCCTCCCTCCTCTGTGCTGTTAAAATTTTATTATTGCTATTTTTAAGACCGAGGACCTATTAGAATGACAAAGGTTTGATACAAACCTTGATTAGCTTCCAGGGAGCCTGATTGGAAAGGGAAAAACTACAAAGACATGGTTGCCTCCAGAGGGAGGAAAAAGAAAGTATTTATTTTTCCAAATATTATTTTGAAGCCTGCCTCCCCCTTCCCCCTTCCCCCTTCCAATCTCTCTTCTGAACAGACATTTTCTCCATATTGGATAAAGGTTTCTTTCTCTCTCCATGACAGCCCCCCCTCCCCACACCAACAAATCTAGTATATTTCCATTCTGCTGTGTTCTTTGTGCTACTCAACATGTCATTAACTTTAAGATTTACTCCTCAGCATGCAAGCTGGAAGATGCTAAAGCCAATAAAAACTGCTCTCTGGGACTCCAACTAGGAAGACTTTGGAGCTCTGTTTAGTATTCACACGGAGGGAGGGCTGGGATTGAGGGTGGTTGTGGTAGTGAAAACCCTCAGCTGCTTAGAGAGCCACTCAGCTCTGCGCTCTGCACCTAATGTGCCGGAGGATCAGCTACATTCATAGCCCATTTGTGGCCAAAGACGAGGCTGCTGTCTGTGTGGGGGTGGGTGTATGTGTGTGTGTTTTCATCTTCAAAATCACCAGCTCTAACACCGTATCTTCTATGGCTCTTCATACTACTGTTTATTAAAAACGGAACGTCCATACATCCCTACAACTTCCTTAGCTCCCTACTCCTTCTTTGCCTGGCCATCAATCTCTCTCAGAAAGCATTTAACTTGCCCACACAACTCCAACACCGATTAATCCCTGGTGCACATCCTATACATTACTGTTAGGGAGCAGAGCACTGGGCTAATTTCATCACCCACAAGACACCCACACACATTCTACAACTGAACTCATTTGGGGCTCTGCCTTAAGATAATAAAACAGAGAGAAAACAGGCAGGCTGCAGACAATCCCATGACCACTTTCCTAAAAAGTTGTTAGATTTTAATTCTTTGATTATTCTGTCTCCACCTTCTAGAGGCACTCACCAATAGTGATTGCTTCTAAGGAGAAATAATGTACTATAAAGCTCACAGTATGGTGAGTTTGGGATAAATTAAAGCTTACCTTTCAAAATGCACCTCTTGCATACATAATATTATGTCCCAAATCCCAGCCTCACTGGGGAAGGGGATTGTTCAGATTTCCTAGACCCATCACTCCACCCTGGGGATGGCTCTTTCCTTGCTAATTCTTGCCTTGGGTTTTTAATCAATCCTTCCAAATATCGAAACCAGCCCCTTCTCACCAGTCACACAACAACCAGACTACTGAGCCACAAATCTCACTAGGGAGAGTTTACTGTTAAATTGATAGCAAAATAAAAATATCTCTTGAATTTGTTATCCCTCTCCCTTTTAGACGGCTGCACTCTGCTCTTCTGGCCCATGCAGAGAGGAGAGCGATTCCTGTAGTGTTTTCAGCACCACGGCGATGGACAGCACCCCACATCCTGGGCAAGCTGAGCGCCCGACAGTCCGCTCAGTTTTTTGGGCTTCCCGGGAGCAGCTGTCCCCATCCCAATTTTTAAAGTCTATAGATCCCAAACCCCGAACCCTATTTGCTACCCCCACCCCTTCTTTCTTCCCATCTCCTGTCTCTGTTGCCCTCTCTACGGCACCACTGCTTCCATCGGCTGTTCGCCTCAAGCTCAGCCTTGTCCCGGCGAACATCTATCTCCCCACACATCCCAGCTCGATCTCTCTGCCGGAGCGCCTCCCTCCTCGGCGCCCGCCCGCGGCTCGCTTTCGCCCCGTCTCTCGCTTGCCAGTCGCTTGCCGGCCAGTCTGCTGCCCGGCCGCTCCTGCTCTCTGGCAAAGTTGAGAGGGAAAGGTGCTCTCACCTTTGTGCATGCCTGTGAACCTGTCCTTCAGAACCGTAAGCTCGTAGATCTTGCCGAACTCCTCGAAGAGGGGCTTGAGGTCCTTCTCATCCAGGTTTCGGGGGATCTGCCCAATGAACAGCTTGATGGCATCGTGGTCCTTCATGGGAATGGTCGACGGGTTCCCCGGGCTGTGGCTTAATCCGTTCATATGCCCGGCGCTGCCCGGACTGCTGCCTAGCCCGTTGGTACTGAGGCTCGCGTTGTCAGCCTGTCCGTTTGCTAACGTGGCCATCTTTATATACATAGAGAAAAATCTTTCCTTTTATTCTTTCTCGCTCGCACTCTCTCGCTCCTCTCCCTCACTCGCTCGCTCGCGCTCACACACGCACACGCACACACACACACACGCACACACTCACACACACTCACACACGCACACATACACACACTCACTCACACACGCACACACACACACTCACACACACACACACACACAC